TGTGCTACGCATTGTACGTAACTGTATGTGCTACGCATTGTACGTAACTGTCTGTGCTATGCATTGTACGTAACTGTATGTGCTATGCTTTTATACGACTGGCACTATAATCGTCGTTTCTCACCACAAGCTCATGGTGATGCCTTCCACTTCGACATTATGACGGCCACATCAGTAGCTGATAGAAAATTTTCAGTCCCATTATAATCATATCAGACCACCATTACACATATGGTCAGTCATTGACTGAAATACGGTTATGTGGTGCATGACTGTACATGTATAAATACCATTTATTTTTGTATGCTAATCTCATATCCTGCAATCTTGCTAAACTCACTGTTTAGTTCTAGTAATTTTTCTTGGTAAACTCCATTGAGTTTTCTATATAGTCTATCATATCTATGAATAAAGACAGTTTTTTTTTTTTTTTTTTGAGACGGAGTTTTGCTCTTGTTACCCAGGCTGGAGTGCAATGGTGCAATCTCAGCTCACTGCAACCTCTGCCTCCTGGGTTCAAGCGATTCTCCTGCCTCAGCCTCCCAAGTAGCTGGGATTACAGGCATGTGCCACCATGCCTAGCTAATTTTGTATTTTTAGTAGAGACAGGGTTTCTCCATATTGGTCAGGCTGGTCTCGAACTTCCAACCTCTGGTGATCCTCCCGCCTCGGCCTCCCAAAGTGCTGGAATTACAGACATGAGCCACTGTGCCCAACATAGAGTTTTAACTTAACAATTTGGATGTTTTAATTTATTTTCTTGTTGAAGAGCCTTTTGTTGAGACTTGAACCTCCAGGACATTGTGAAATGCCAGCCATTAGATTAGAAATTTGTGTTTTGTTCCTGATTTGAGGAGGAAAGCATACTTTGACTATTAAGTGTGATGTTAGCATTAGATGCTTCATAGATGCTGTTTATCAGGTTGATAATGTTCCTCCTATTCCTACATTTCTGAGAATTTTTCAAGAAATGTATGTGGGATTGTGTTTTATTTTTTTCTGTATATATTGGGATGATTATATGGTTTTTCATTTTGATCTGTTAATACTGTGAATTGTATTAATTTTTAAAGATGAAATCAACTTCCATTTCTGGGAAATACCATTCATTCATGATTTAGTGTCATTTTTATATACTGCTGGGTTGTCTTTGTAAAATTTGTTATGAATTTTTGTACATATGCTTGTGACTGACATTGATCTGTCATGCTCCTTTTTTTTAACACCTTCATCTGGAAGTA